CCTTCCTTCCTTCCTTCCTTCCTTCCTTCCTTCCTTCCTTCCTTCCTTCCTTCCTCTTCCTGCCTGCCTGCCTACCTGCCTTCTTTTTTGAGACAGGTTGTTTTCTTAGATTTAATTTCCTTCTTTTCTTTCTTTTCTTTTCGTTTTTTTTTTTTCTTTTCTTTCTCTCCTCTCCTCCTCCTCTTCTTTCTTTCTCCTTTCCTTTCCTTCCTTTCTTTTTTGAGACAGAGTCTCACTTCCATCACCTAGGCTGGAGTGCAGTGGCATACTCATGACTTACTGCAACCTCGACTTCCTGGGGTCAGGTGATCCTCCCATCTTAGCCTCCTGAGTAGCTGGGAGGTGCGTGTCACCATGCCCAGCTAATATTTTGCTTTTTGTAGAGAAGGAGTTTTGCCATGTTGTCCAGGCTGGTCCCAAACTAAGTTATCTGACTGCCTTGGCCTCCCAGAATGCTGGGATTACAGACATGAGCCACCATGTCCCACCTTCTTGTGTATTTTCTAATTAATAATATTAGTTTACTTAGGTTAATAAAACACAAATGACGGCCGAGGTGGGCAGATCACAAGGTCAAGAGATTGAGACCATCCTGGCCAACATGGTGAAACCTCGTCTCTACTAAAAATACAAAAATTAGCTGGGCACGCACCTGTAGTCCCAGCTACTCAGGAGGCTGAGGCAGGAGAATCGCTTGAACCTGGGAGGCAGAGGTTGCAGTGAGACGAGATTGCTCCATTGCACTCCAGTTCTGGGTGACAGAGCAAGACTCTGTCTCAAAAAAAAAAAAAAAAAAAGCCACATAAACGACTTTGTGTCTGTTTACAGAATCTTTTAATAAAATCAAATAGCCTCTCAGGGTTTTAGAGGGGATTTCTAGGTATGTTACCATATCAGTTGAAAATAATATATTTTATCTTTCCCCCATGCATATATTTTTATTGCTTTATACTACACTCCAAATCTCATGTTGGAATTTGGTCCCCAGTGTCAGAAGTGGGGCTTAGTGAAAGATGCTCAGGTCATGGGGGTAGACCCCTTGTGAATGGCTTGGTGCAATCCTGATAGCAATGAGTGAGTTCTCACTCTCCTAGTTCCCACAAGAGCTCCTTGTTGAAAAGAGCCTGGCACCTGCTTCCCCTCACCGTTGCTTCTCCTTGCACCATGTGGTCTCTGTACACGTTTCCCTTCTGCCATGAGTGGAAGCAGCCTGATGTAATAATTAAATAAATGCTGAAATAAATGCTGGCACCACACTTCTTGTACAGCCAGCAGAACTGCGAGCCAAATAAACTGCTTTTCTTTATAAATTGCCCAGCCTTAACTGTTCCTCTAGAGCAACACAAATGGACAAAGGCACTTTATATCTGAAATTAGCCCAAGTTTCCAAATTAATGATACACAATAACAGATATAGTGAAAATCTTTGTTTAGGTTCTGTTTTTTAAAAAAATCTATTTAGATAAATAAAAAACATTGAAGCAGATGATTTTGGAGTTAGGAATATTCACTTCATGGAAGTCGAGAATAAGTAACTTACTTGCTAATATTTTTGGAAGGATGATATTTGCTTTACTTTTTGATGCCTGTGCTCTTTTTAGTGCTTGCTGGATTTGCCAATGTTTTGGAGACAATTGCAGCAGAAAAAAACCATATTTCATGTACTCCTTGAGGAGGAATTCTGTTTTTGCTATTTCACTACTCAAAAGAAACAAAGATATGATTAGGTATATCTGTGTAAAAGCATGTTCATTAAAAAAAATTTACAAAATTTCTGCTCTTGATTGTGTACTGAATTAATAATTTAATTATCAAAAAGGACAAATATGGCCATAAAAATATGGGCTTCAGTGAAATATGAAATGAGATGAAATAAAACTTTAGGAATGCTGTTTAAATAAAACATGTCCCAGGATACGCACACATTTAGAATAGACATGATAGTTTTACTCGACTTATTTATTATTTCTGTGGGAAACACTGTATTACATTTTAGACATAGGGAGAAATTAGAAGGTAGCAAAAGGACCGGGCACGGTGGCTCACGCCTGTAATCCCAGCACTTCGAGAAGCCAGGGCAGGTAGATCACCTGAGGTCAGGAGTTTGAGACCAGCCTGGCCAACATGGTGAAACGGTGTCTCTATTAAAAATACAAAAAATTAGCCAGGTGTTGTGGCAGGCGCCTGTAATCCCAGCTACTTGGGAGGCTGAAGCAGGAGAATTGCTTGAACCTGGAAGGCGGAGGATGCAGTGAGCCGAGATTGCACCATTGCACTCCAGCCTGGGCAACAAGAGCCAAACTCCGTCAAAAAAAAAAAAAAAAAAAAAAAAGTAGCAAAAGGTGGTACATTTGTAAGGAGAAGAAAGAAACTAACACTTAATGAGAACCTACTACTGTAGGCAGGACACACTACAGACGTATGCTTATCCTCAGGACAGCACTTTAAAATAGGTACTAATGGTAGAGCCAGTACTCAAATCCAGGTCCATCTGACTCAGATGCCCAAGCTCCTGCCAATACTGAGTGACTTGGACCAAAAGCTTTTGCCCAGCTTCACATTGCGTTACAGTAATTACATTACAAAGTGGACAGAGAGGGATGTTAAAGTAACAAAAAGAAGGCCCACTTGAAAGGGAGTTTCCAAACCTTTATCTTTCAGAGCCTTCGTTATTCAGACCCTCACCAATACTCTTATCAATAGTACTTTGTATCAGTGTTTACAGCTTTAATATTTCTATCTGTCAGAGGCTTCCTTCAGCCCTGGTGTGAGAGTGATATTCAAGGGTCAGTAAATGGCTGCCTCACATATCACCAGTTGGAAGATTGATGGGAGCCCTTCCTTCTATGGCTGCCTCCGTTTTAGATTGAAATCCTCCCAGATATGCTACAAAGAACACGGGGTGACAATTGGCTGGAACGATACAGCTTCCAAGCAAAAGCTTCAGAAGATGCCCCCTTCCCTTTCCAGCGCTACCTGTAGAGGAGGCCTCCTGGGGCCATCTCAAGCCATAAAGAGAGTAGAGAACCTGCTGCCCTTGCTCCACTACAGGCTTGTTTTTCATGAGCTCCTGTACCTTTCTAGGATGATGTGACACATAAACGATCAAAAGTTCTCTTCGGCAAGGCCGTTTGGAGGGCTTAACTCGGTGGCTAGTGTGCATAAATGCAGTACTTTGCACTAAAATAGAGGCTGCTACTCTAGCTCTAGAAACATTCTATAAATGGATAGAATCTTCTAATTGCATTAGGGGGTGAAAGAGAGAAGGAAATGCTCTATCTTGGAGCAGCTTCAGTTTTAGGCTCCTAAAATAGAAGAGCCTGCTATAGCCAGAATGTGAAACACACATTCTGTTAGTGCAGTTGGTTTCCGAGAAATTAACTCTGCTTCATTTCAGACTAGCTTGTCTGAAGGATGTAAGAAGCCTAGGACCTAGTTCTAGAGGAGAGGTAAGCATCAAGTTCTCACCAAGGAAAAGTAAGTTTAGCATTGACCTGATACCAACACTACAGTGTCTGCTGAATCATGAAATTAGTGTCCAAAAATGATGACAGAAGGAAGCTTCTTTAGCGACTTAAAATTAGTTAGGCTGGGCACAGTGGTTCATGCCTGTAATCCCAGCACTTTGGGAGGCCGAGGTGGGTGGATCATCTGAGGTCAGGAGTTCGAGACCAGCCTGGCTAACATGGTGAAACCCCGTTTCTACCAAAAATACAAAAAATTAGCCAAGCGTGGTGGTGTGCACCTGTAATCCCAGGTACTTGAGAGGCTGACGCAGGAGAATCACTTGAACCTAGGAGGTGGAGGTTTCAGTGAGCCGAAATCACGCCATTGCACTCCAGCTTGGGCAACAAAGGCGAAACTCCCTCTCAAACGAAAAAAAAATGAAAAATTAGTTCAAGTGAGTTTCCTTGACCATGGAAGGAAACATCCAAGTTTGAAAAGGGGTGGCAGATGGTACAATTTTACCCAACACCTGCTCCAATACTTTTTTCTCTTTATAGAGCTTAGCTTTTTAATTTTTATTTATTTTTACTAGGGATGGGGTCCTGCTGTGTTGCTCAGACTTCACTTGAACTCCTGGGCTCAAGCAGTCCTCCCGCTTCAACTTCCAAAGGAGCTGAGAGGCGAGCAGCGTGCCCAGCAGATCTTAGTTTTTAATAACAATACTAGTTCTACTATGTAAGCGTAAACATAAAAAATACTGCCCATGATGAGTGTAAGATAATTGTAGAATGAGTCCCAATTTCAGAGATGTTAAAATGTGGGGGAAAAAATGTCTCAGAATGAATGAAAAAATGCAACCAGACTAAACTAAAAATATAAAAAGAAAAAAATGAATGAATGAAGAAGGGCACTTAGACAGTAATTTATTGTTTATTCCTAATTGTTTTGCTTCAACTAATTTCTTTGCTTCTGTATCTACAAGTTAGAGAGACTTTCCAGCCAGAAGCCACATACTGTCCTGATACCCAGGCAGGAACAAAGCTTGATGGACAGGTTACTTATTTTTAAAAATTCGTTCATACTTACGACATCATCAACTGATAAGGATGATCAGGATTATTAGGTCTTACCTGGCATAAACAGGTTTTAATGGGTCGTGGAAATTTGGCCACGAGAAGATTGTACCCACCCTCACCTTTTCACTGCTTGTACCTCCATGCTTGCTTTCTTCAGCTCTGTTGTCATTTGGAGTTTGTTTATCGTTTCCTGTGCTGCCCTGAAAAGCAATGAAGATCTGTTAATTTACTTCTTAGAAACAAACAAACAAACAAAAGAGGTGGGAGGGGTTTGGCCAGAGTGATGAAACTAACAATTTAAGAGCGTCTACAGATCTCTGGTCGTTTTCTCGAAGGAACTCTTCAAAGGCCAGTGCATCATCTTGGAGCTTTTTCTCTGCTTTTTTGAGTTGCCGTTCCCTCATTGCTATGTCTTTTTCAAACTTTTTGATTGTGTTTCTTTTGGTTGACAAAGCATACTAGGGGCATTGAAGACAGAGGTGTAAAAACATGATTCCACATTTTTAGTAATTTCAACAGTCTTATACACAGCAAGTAAACATTTGTATTGGAAATAATAGTATGCCTAAATCTTGGAGCAATGGACTTTATTTCTTGAAGGAGTTTTATTTTCGAGGATTATTAGAGGGGAGACTAATTTCCCTCTCTTACTTTTATGAAGAGGGTCAGTGTTATTCCAAAAGAGCTCAGCCCTAGAAATAAAAAATAGCTGCATATTCCTCCAAAGAGCAGATGCATCTGGTATTACCTACAGTGTATTACCCTCTAGTACTTTCTGGGAATTGGGAAACTGGGCTGTCTGCAGTCACAAAAGCTACCAGCTTCTCTGCCAATAGGAAGACCATGGGAGAAAGCAGTTTCAACTCTGCCATGCCAGTGGTGCATTCCTGGGAGCCAGCCCAAGGGTACCACATTTAACTGTAATCAAAAAGGCCCATTTAGATCCCCAAACACAACTTTGACATCTGCCTGCTATTTCCTTCTATTTTTTTAGTATAGAATATAAGAATCCACGTGGTGATTTTTGTTTTGTTTTGTTTTTGAGACAAGTTCTCGCTCTGTCACCCAGGCTGGAGTGCAGTGGTGTGATCTTGGCTCACTGCAGCCTCGACCATCCAGGCTCAAGCAAACTTCCCACCTCAGCCTCTCAAGTAACTGGGACTATATAGGTGCACACCACCATGCCTGGCTAATTTTTGTATTTTTAGTAGAGATGGTTTTTGCCATGTCGGCCAGGCTGGTCTCAAACTCCTGAGCTCAAGCAATCTGCCTGCCTTGGCCTCCCAAAGTGCTGGGATTACAGGTGTGAGCCACCACACCCAGACCCATTTGGGTTTTTAATGCCATACAGGAAAAAAAAAAAAATCATAAATAAGGCCACATACATTATAATATAAATGAATTTAAAATATGGAAATGAGATGATTTTAAAGCGATAACAACCATGGTATGTAATGTGATAGCTAAAGAGAGTCCCAACTCTGCTATAAATAAAAAAATAAAGATGCCATGAAGCCACTTCAGTTTTTGAAAACTAACAAGTTACCCAGAGTTAGCCAAACTGATATCTAAAGAGGGTTTTTGGGGTGGCATTGTTTTAAAAGATGGGGTAAATAGTAGGATGTTTGTATGTTGGTGGCAATAATCCAGCAGAGAGGGAAAAATAATAGTTAGAAAAGATCAGTAATTGTAGAATCATTTTCGTAATTTTTTTCTAGCTTAATTGAGGTATAATATCCAATAAACTCCACATTTTTAAAGTATACAATCTGGTAAGTTTTGACATATGTATATACTTGGGAAATCATCACCACAATCAAAATAATGAACATATTCATCACCTCAAAAAGTCTACTCATGCCCTTTGTAATCCATCCCTTCTTCCCTCCTCCCCAACTCCTTTCCCAGGCAATTACTGACCTGTCTTCTGTCACTGTAAACAAGCTTGCATTCTCTAGAATTTTATCTAGTGAAATTATAGTATGAACTATTATTCTGTCTGGATTTATAAACTTAGTATAACTATTTTGAGTCATCCATGTTGTAGAGTATCCATAACTAATTCCTTTCTATTGCTGAGTAGTAATCAGTTATGATGATATACCCCAGTTTGGTTACCCATTTACCTGTTCATGGACATTTGGTTTGTTTCCTACATTGGGCTACTTCGAATAAGGTTGCTATGAGCACATGTGCTTTTATTTTTCTTGGATAAATTCCCAGGGGTGGAATGGCTATAAATAAGAAACTATTCTTTGTTTCTCACCCAGGAGTCTGGTGTCTTCTATTGAAACTATGAAACTGTACCAGACTAACTTCTTAGCTTGCAAGTAGGATAACATTTTAGATGCTTCATAGCTCTGGAAACTAGGTCCTTTGCATTTCTGTATAAAACTTAGAATCAGCCTTTCAATTTCTACAAGAAAGACTCCTGGGATTTGCATTGAGATTGTATTTATAGATTAAATAAATTAATCTGTAAATCAATCTGGAAAGATTTGGCATCTCAGCAATATTGAGTCTTTGGATCAATGAACATGGTATCACTCTCCATTTTTTTAGGTCCATAACTCATACGTTATGGTAGTTTTAAAATAGATTTCTCCGGATTTTCTGCGGAGAGGATCATGTTGTCTGTAAATAAAGACAGCTTTAATTCTTCATTTCCAATCTGGATGTCTTTCATTTCTTTTTCTTGTCTTATTGCACTAGCTAGGACCTCCAGAACACTGATGAAAAGAAGTGGTGCAGTGGAAATTCTTGCATTGTTCCTAATATTAGGGGGAAAGCATTCAGTCTTTCACCATTAGATATATAATGTTAATAATAAGTTTCTAGTAGATGTCTTTTTATAAAGTTGAGGAACTTCTCTTCCTATTTTGCTGAGAGTCTCTATCAAGAATGAATTTTGGATATTGTTGAGTGGTTTTTCTGCATCAATTGGGATAATCATATGGGTTTTCAACTTTAATTTGTTAATGTGTATTACACTGATTCATTTTCAAATGTTAAATTACTTTTGTATTCTTAGATTAAACCCTAATTTGTCATAATGTATTATCATTTTTATGTATTATTGGATTTGGTTTGTTACATTTTGTTCAGAATGTTTGCATATATGCTCACAAGAGATCTTGGTCTTTAGTTTTCTTGTCTTCTAATCATTTTATCTAGTTTTGATATGAGGGTAACGCTGGCTTCACAGCATGAGTTGTGAAGTATTCCCTCTTTCTCATTTTTTTGAAACAGTGTGTATAAAATTAAACTTATTTCTTTTTTAAATATTTGGCAGAATTAACCAATAAATCTGGGTTTTTCTTTGTGAGAAGATTTTTACCTGTAAGTTCAATTTCTTTAAGAGACATAAAGCTATTCCATTTATTTCTTTCTTCTTGGGTAGGCTTTGGTAGTTTGCATCTTTCAAGGACTCTGTCTATTTCATCTAAGTTGTCAAATTTATTGGCATAAAGTGTTTATAATATTAAATTCACAATATGTCAATATTAATAATTTTTAAATGGGTATTTCATGTCCCAACTCTGCTATAAATAAAAAAATAAAGATGCCATGAAGAAAACTAGAAAACTATTACAAGTTACCCAGAGTTAGCCAAATTGAAAATTTCATATCATAGTCCCCAAGACTGCTCTCACTTCTGACGCTGACTGCAAGTTTGAGGGGTTCCCCCAAATACTGTCAGTTTTGGTAATTTGCTGGAAGGACTCACAAACTCACTGAAAGCTATTATACTCATGGGTATAGTTTATTAAAAGGAAAGAATACAGATTGAAATCATCCAAAGGAAGAGACCCATAAGGCAGAGCCCGAGTGAATTCTAAATGCAAAGCTTCCAGTGTTCCCTCCCCATGGAACTAGGAGGCGTTATCCTCCCTGCATCTACATGTGACAACACACACAGAATATTGTCAACAAGGGAAGTACAAATGAGCTTCAGTGTCTGGAGTTTTCACTGAGGCTTCATTAACTAGGTATGATTGGTTGACTGTGTGGTTGATCTGTCTCCAGTCTCCAGACCCTCTAAGTGTGACCCAAAGCCCCACCTCTAAGTCCCATTGTTAGTATTTCTGGGATGGCCAGCCCCCACCCTAAGACTGTCAGATGTGACCAGTTCTACATTAAAGAAAGACATCTTTATTAAGTATGATATAGATTACCACCCAGAAGTCAAGGGCAAAGGTCAGACTCTTTCTGGACAAGGTCGAATTTTTTTACTACAAACAGTTGTTCTTTGGCATCAACAGGAGATTGACTCCAGGATCCCCAAGGACACCAAATTTTGTGGATGCTCAAGTCCCTTATATAAAATGGAATAGTATTTGCATATAACTCTGTACATTCTCCCATATACTTTAAATAATCTCTAGATTAATTATAGTACCTAATAGCAATGTAAATGCTATATAAATAGTTGTTGCCGGGCACGGTGGCTCAAGCCTGTAATCCCAGCACTTTGGGAGGCCGAGACGGGCGGATCACGAGGTCAGGAGATCGAGACCATCCTGGCTAACACGGTGAAACCCCGTCTCCACTAAAAAAATACAAAAAAAAACTAGCCGGGCGAGGTGGCGGGCGCCTGTAGTCCCAGCTACTCGGGAGGCTGAGGCAGGAGAATGGCGTGAACCCGGGAGGCGGAGCTTGCAGTGAGCTGAGGGGCTACTGCACTCCAGCCTGGGCGACAGAGCGAGACTCCGTCTCAGAAAAAAAAAAAAAAAAAAGTTGTTATACTTTATAATTTTTCAAAATTTATATTATTTTGTTGTTTTTTATCATTTTTTCTCAATATTTGTGATCTGCAGTTTGTTAAATTCTCAGATGCTGAACCTGTGGATACGGAGGATAGACTGTACAAGTCTTTTTGATAAGTGGACACGTCACCAAACTGGTTGAGGAAGGGAGGGATATAGCAAAGAAAGGAAATGAGGTATATTTAATATAAATGTCCTAAAATCCTAGTGTATCTATCAAGCGCCACCTTAAACTACCTAGGACATCTGTTATGTCAGTAGGACTTTATAATAAAGACCAAACTCATACCCAGGAAATGCTTTTTAACAAACAAAGCCAACAGGTTCTATTTATAACTTTATTAGTTACTTTAAGTGAGATATTTTATGTTGATTGCGACTGGCAGTGTACGGAAGTACTAACTAACTAAATTTATGCCCCAAAATGTGTGATGTGAAATTAGGAAAAGTCAAGTACATTGTTATTTACTCATTAGCATCAAAGAGTTTAATTGAGACATGTTAACATCTTTAGATTATTAGATACTTGACAATAAAGGTATAAAAATGTTCAATTCATTCATTTTGTAATTATTTTCCCATTAAGTGCTTGGCATCTCTGCTTTACCTATGGTAAATGAATATGCATATAGACATAGTAAATAATCATGTTTTCAGTTATACACTTGGCTTCTAGTTAAAGTTTTTGATGGCAGGAAAAAAAAGCCTCTATCATTTTTTATAAAAGACTCCACAAGGGACCTGGCACACTGTTCTGACATGAGTAGGTATGAAGAAAGCTGGAGGGATTCTAGAATTGTCTGAATTTCCAGAGTGCTTGGATTCCCACCATATTCAGCCAAAGCATCAGGAGAAGCTGCATTAAACAGGGCATCTCAGGTGCTATCCTGGTCATAGGAGAGATAATTGGGGAAAAAGGAACAAACTAGAATCAGATATTTTCTAGAATAATTTTTCTGATAGGTTCCAGGAAGCATAAAAACCTTGTCTGGGATATTAGAATGTAAATCCTTTGAGGGGCAGGTCTTTGCTTTGTTTACTGCTTGGCACTTAGTAAACTCTCAGTAAGTATTTTTCAAATTAATGAACACATGAAAAAAACAACCTGTTCAACCAATATATTTGGGACATGTAATAGAAAAGCAAAATGTCAAGGTAAATATTTGACAACACTACACAAGAAGTCTTCCATTTGGCTAGGGGAGCAAAGTTATTTTTACTACCTCAAGCAGAAACCTGTCTCTCTGGTCATTAATAAATTCATGGACAGTCCTTTTTGTGTCTGAACCTGTGAAGAAAGTTGAAATAGATTTAAGTTTGTGCATCATCCTTAAAAATGCTGTATAAAATAAAAGCCATATAATTAAATTATTCTACAGTATGTATCCGATCTTTTAAAAATACTATACCTTCAAATAAACCTTTTTCTAACCACTCAAGTTTATTTAATAATAGTAATTACAATTTATTTTATGTCTGTCATATTCCAGAAACTTCATTAGCCACTTTAAACACATCACTTAATCCTAACAACAACCCGAATAAGGTACTTACTACTATCCCTATCCTGTCCGTAAGGTCCTGAAGTGTAGAGCTGTCAAAATTCTTATCCAAGGTCACACAACTAACCTAAGCCTGTTCTGTACCAAGTAAGACTGAAGTATTTTAAATCTTAATGTTTGGCCAATCTACACATAAAACCAAAGCTCTTAGGCAAAATCTTTTTGGGCTCATAAACCAAATTTATGTCAGGAAAGGAAAAGATGACAACTAGTTTTACCGTCTAGCAATAGAAAATACCAAATGTTTCCTTTCAAGCTTTTTTCATTCTGGAAATTTATACATATGCTACATTTCAATAATGTTTGCTTCATAAAAACCAACAGAATGTGGCATAAAATAAAATCTCTTAATAAGAATGTAACTATAGCCAGCAGAAGAAAAGAAATAACTAAAATCAGAGCAGAACTCAATGAAATTGAGAGGAGAAAATAAAACCATACAAAGAATCAATGAAACAAAAAGTTGGTTCTTTGAAAGAATAAACAAGATTGACAGACCACTAGCTAGATTAACAAAGAAAAAAAGAAGATCCAAATAAGCACACTCAGAAATGACAACGGTAACATTATAGCCAATCCCAGAGAAATATAAAAGATCCTCAGAGACTATTATGAACACCTCTATGAAAACAAACTGGAAAATCTAGAGGAAATGGATAAATTCCTGGAAACACACAACCTCCCAAGATTGAATCAGGAAGAAATTGTAACCCTGAACAGACTAATAATGAGTTCTGAAATTGAATCAGTAATTAAAAAAACCTACCAAACCAAATAAAGCCCTGGACCAGATGGATTCATAGCCGAATCCTACCGGAGGTACAAAGAAGGGCTAGCACCAGTCCTACTGAAGTTATTCCAAAAAAATCAAAGAGAAGGGATTCCTCCCTAATTCATCCTATGAATTTGGTATCATCCTGATATCAAAATCTGGCAAAGACACAACAAAAAAGAAAACTACAGGTCAATATCCTTAATGAACATAGACACAAAAATCCTCAAAAAAACACTAGCAAACTGAATCCAACAACACATCAAAAAGTTAATTCACCATGATCAAGTGGGCTTTATTCCTAGAATACAAGGTTGGTTCAATATACACAAATCAATAAATGTGATTCACCACATAAACAGAATTAAACCCAAAAAACCATAGGATCATCTCGATAGACACAGAAAAAGCATTCAATAAAATCCAACATCCCCTTATGGTAGAAACCCTCAACAAACTAGGCATGGAAGGAACATACCTCAAAATAATAACAGCCATCTATGACAAACTCACAGCCAACATCATACAGAGGTAAAAGTTAGAAGCATTTCCCCTAAGAACTGGAACAAGACAAGGATTTCCACTCTCAGCATTCCTAGTCAACATAATACTGGAAGTCTTAACCAGGGCAATCCAGCAAGAGAAAGAAACAAAAGCATCCAAACAGGAAAGAGGAAGTCAAATTATCTCTCTTCACTGATGATATGATTCCATACCTAAAAAACCCTAAAGACTCCACCAAAAGAATCTTAGATCTGACAAACAACTTCAGCAAAGTTTCAGGATACAAAATCAATGTACAAAAATCAATAGTATTTGTATACATCAATAACATTCGAGCTGAGAGCCAAATCAAGAATGCAATCCCATTTACATTACACACACACACACGCGCACACACACACACACATACGCACACAAAATACCTACGGATATTTGTAACCAAAGAAGTGTAAGAACTCTACAATCAGAATTACAAAATGCTGCTGAAAAAATTCATAGACGACACAAACAAATTGAAAAACATTCCAGGCTCATGGATTGGAACAATCAATGTCATTAAAAATGTCCACACTTACCAAAGCAATTTACAGATTCAATGCTATTCCTATCAAACTACCAATGTCATTTTTCACAGAAAAATCTTTCTAAAATTCAGGCTGGACATGGTAGTTCATGCCTGTAATCCCAAAACTTGGAAAGGCCAAGGTGGGAGGATTGCTTGAGGCCAGGAGTTCAAGACCAGACTGAGCAACACAGCAAGAAACCCATCTCTACAAAAAAATTTAAAAATTAGCTGAGCATGGTTGTGCATGCCTATAGTCCAAGCCACTCACAGGACTAATCCAGGAGGATTGCTTGAGATTAGGAGTTCAGGGTTACAGTGAGCTGTGATCATGCCACTGCACTTCAGCCTGGGGGACAGAGCAAGACACTGTCTCTAAATTAATAAATAATTCATAAAAATAAAATAAAAATTACATGGAGCCAAAATAGACCCCAAATAGCCAAAGTAATCCTAAGCAAAAAGAACGAAGTTGGACTCATCATATTACCTGATTTCAAACTATACTACAAGACTACAGTAACAAAAACAGCATGGTACTGGTACAAAAAGAGACCAATGGAACAAAATAGAAAACCGAGAAATAAAGCTACACACCTACAACCGATTGTCAACAAAACTGACAAAAATAAACAATGGGGAGAGGATCCCCTTTTCAATAAATGGTGCAGGGAAAACTGGCTAGCCATATGTAGAAGAATGAAACTAGACCCCTTCCTCTTACCATATACAAAAATTAACTCAAGAGGGATTCAAGACTTAAATGTAAGACCTCCAACTATAAAAAGAAATCCCAAAAGAAAACCTGGGACATACTCTTCTGGACACTGGCCTAGGCAAAGTTCTCAAAACGAAATGCAACAAAAATAAAAATTAGCATTTCAGACCTAATTTAACTAAAGAACTTCTGCACAGCAAAACAAACTATCAACAGGCTAAACAGACAACCTATAGCATAGGAGAAAATATTTGCAAGCTATGTATTCGACAAAGGCCTAATATCAAGAATCTATGAGGAACTTAAACAAATTAACAAGAAAAAAAAACACATTAAAAAGTAGGCAAAAGCAGACACACAAGTGACATCCAATAAACTGGAAAGAATGCCCAACATTGCCAATCATCAAAGAAATGCAAATCAAAATCACAATGAGATGCCATCTCATACCAGTCAGAATGCCTATTATTAAAAAGTCAAAAAATAACAGACAACTAGGTTGCAGAGAAAAGGGAATGCTTATATACTGTTGATGGGAATACACTGTTAATTCAGCCCCATGTGGAAAGCAGTTTGGAGGTTTTTCAAATAACTAAAAATAGAACTATCATCCAACCCAGCAATCTCATTACTGGTACCTACCCCCCAAAAAATAAATTGTTCTACCAAAAAGACACATGCACTTGTATGTTCATACAGCAATGTTAACCATAGCGAATACAGAGACTCAACCTAGGTGCACATCAACAGTGGACTGGATAAAGAAAATGTAGTGTATGTATACCATGGAATACTATGCAGCCATAAAAAAGAATAAAATAATGTCCTCTGCAGCAACATAGGTAGAGCTGGAAGTCATTCTCCTAAGTGAATTAACACAGAAACAGAAAAGCAAATACTGCATGTTTTCACTTATAAGTGGGAGCTAAACATTGAGTACACATGGACATAAAGATAGCAAAAATAGACACTGAGGCCTCATAAAGCAGGGAGGGAGGAGGGGAGCAAGGGTTGAAAAATTTCCCATTGGGTACCATGTTCACTATCTTAGTGATGCAGTCAGTAGAAGCCCAAAGCCCAGCATCATGAAACATACCCTGGTAACAAACCTGCATATGTATCCCCTGAATCTAAAATTTAAGAATTTAAATATTCACTCCTAAGCTAAAAAAGTTGACCTCATAGAAGTAGAGAGCAGAATAGTGGTCACTAGAAGCAGGAAAGGATAGGGGTGGGGGGATAGGAAGAGGTTGGTTAACAGCACACAAGTACAGCTAGACAACAGGAGTAAGTTCTAGTGTGCTATGGTGCTGTAAGGTGACTAGAGCTAGCAACAGTTTGTACATATTTTAAAATGGCTAGAAGAATGGACTTTTGAATGTTCCCAACACAAATAAATGATAAATGTTTGAGGTGATGAATATGCTAATTACTCCAATTTGATTATGGCACATTGTATACATGTATTGAAACATCACGCTATACCCCATCAATATGCATGATTATTATGGGGTTAATTAAAAATAGTAATAAAAGCAGGGCCAGGAGCAGTGGCTCATGCCTGTAATCCCAGCACTTCGGGAGGCTGAAGTACGTGGATCGCTTCAGCCCAGGAGTTTGAGACCAACCTGGACAACATGGCAAAACCTTGTCTCTACAAAAATATACAAAAATTAGCCAGGTGTGGTCATGTGTGCCTTTGTCCCAGCTACTTGGAAGGGGAGGCTGAGGTGGGAAGATCACTTGAGCCAGGAGGTCGACGCTGTAGTGAGTCATGATCATGCCACTGCATTCAAGCCTGGGTGACAAAGTGAGAACCTGTCTCAAAAAGTAATAATAAAAGCAAAAAAATGCAAACTGAGGTAGAAAGGAAACAATATTTCCAAGTAACCTGTGAGCGTGTGCTGCCTAGGAGGCCCACGTCGTCCTGGGTCACATTTCACCTTCACCTCTTACTAGCTGTGGGAACATAAGTAAATTACCATCTCTCCATGCCTCAGTTTCCTCATTTGTGAAATGAGGATACTGCCTATGGCTGATTATGTTATGGTTCCCAAATATTTGCTGCCCCTCTCTGTGAGAGGATTCTGTTTCCCCACTAAGTTGATGTCAGGCTTGCCTGTTGACAGATTCAGCCCAGGGAATGGGATTGGATGGGATATACGTTGCCTCCAGGAAGAAGCTTCAAGAACCACCACCTGTTTCTCTCCTTTCTCCCTTTGCTGTAACTTTGCTGTAACTCCAGCAACATCCCAGACAGGAACTGTTCTTTCAGCAGAAGACCCAGAGAAAAGCACCCACGTCGGAAAGTGAAGGATAATTAAACCTCTGTTATTGGAAGTCACTGAAATTTAGGAGTGGTTTATTACCAAAGCATAAGTAAGCCTGGGAAGATACACTACTTCATCATAGTGTTGTAAGAGGAAAATGACGTAACATATTACAAAAACACACAGTAATTTCTTAATAATTGTTACTGGCTATTATTTTAAAAATACAATTGGGATGCGTAATAATTTAATTTCTCAAAGTTAATAATGGTAACAATGATTATTATGATCATTAATAATGTTAATTGGGAGGTAACAAACAACAAGCTTTGGAGTCAGACAGTTCTTGGCTTGAATTCTCCACCCCCTGAGAGACTTCAAATCAGTGACAGACTCCGTGAGTCACTTTCATCAGACACAAAGAGGAGGCAAAAATACTTAACGATGTTTTGTTGAGGATTAAATAAAATATATATGAAATCTGTCAGCACTTATCACACAGCTGTCTTTTTAATAGATTTTAAAACTTTAGGCCGGGCATGGTGGCCCATGCCTGTAAACCCATCACTTTGGGAGCTTGTTTAGAGGTGTTAGCAGGGGAGTGCAGCTTCGTATGCCCTTGACAGAAGACGGGTCCTCCCCTATTGGGGATGGTCGTCCTCTCTGACTGAGGGCGCAGCTTTGGGAGGGATGCACATGGAGGGGTGAGGGCGGAATGAGACACCCGCTTAGCTAGCCACATCAGCCAAATCAACTCTGGTGATCAATGGGGTGACAGATGTCACAGCCAGATCGCCCTCACATCCAATCCCAGCACTTTGGGAGACCAACGCGGGTGGATTACTTGAGGCCAGGAGTTCAAGACCACCCTGGCCAACATGGCAAAAACCTGTCTCTACTAAAATACAAAGAATTAGCCAGGTGTGGTGGCATGTGCTTGTAGTCCCAGCTACTCAGAGGCTGAGACACGAGAACTGCTTAAACCCGGGAGACAGAGGTTGCTGTGAGCCAAGATTGCACCACTGCACTTCAGCCTAGGTGACAGAGCAAGACTCTGTCTCAAAAACGAAACAAAACAAAAATACTTTATATTATGGGAATCACTGACATTCAAAGTAGAGAGCCATATAATGTTCCCCCGTGTACCTGTCACCTGCTTCAACATTATCGACATTTTACCAATCTTGTCTCATTTATTGTCACCCTCCTTAATGTCTCCCTCACTGGAGTATTTCAAAGCAAATTCAAGCCTTTGTATCATTTCATCTATAAATATTTTAATATGTAACTCTAGCCGATAAAAAGTTTTAAATTATAACCATAATACCACCATCAGCCCTAACAAAATGAACTATTCCTTGGTGTCATTTTATACCCAGCCTGCATTCAAATCTTCCCAGTTGTCTTAAAAATACCTTTTTGGAGTTTTAAAAATTAAAATCTAAACATTTTATGGTAAGGATCCTAAAGTCCTCTTTTTAATCTACAACAGCCACCCCTGCTCTCCACACCTTACACCCTACACACACTAACTTTTTTTTCCCATGCCATTCATTTGTTCAAGAAATGAGGTCCATTTCTCTGTAGAATTTCCCATGTAATCGATGTGACATAATGTATCCTTATGATGTTATCGAACATGGTCTTCAATCCTCATATTTACGTGGTTAGGTTCAGGTTCCATCTACTCAAACATTTTTAATAGAAGAAAAGAATGAAACTGCTTACTGTAGCTTTCATTTGATCACTTCTGATGGGTTGGCCAAATTGAAAATAAACTTCAAGATCTGAAAAAATCCTGTGCTGTCAGCTTACTAAATATTAGAGCCATATTCACCATTTCAGCCTACTTTGACATGGTACTAGCTGGGTGAGTTGATAGAATTTTATTCTTCAACTCTAAGTAGACTCGTTATAGTAAGTTTCCCATTTTGGCTATTCTAGCTGTCAGGCAGATCTTTGAATCAAGTGGCCAAGAATAATAAAACCCTGCCCAACGCACTAGCATTCCTAGACCTGAGGGCACCTCCACCACTCTCTGGGGGTGTAAAGACCAGTTTGAGAGATCTGAGGACATAGAATACTGCAACAGAGAGTCCTGCAGCTATCCCAGGTGTTGTGCTTTGAGAGCAAAACCAGAGTCAGGCTGCTAGCCGTGCGAAGATGGAAATGGCACTTCTCTCACAGAGGCGAACCGATCTGTCTCTGACACTTAGTTGTGCGTGTGATTTCTTTGATGGGGACCGAGCAGTTTGCCACTACTGCATACACAAAAAATAAAGTCACCTAACCTCCCAGCGTGTGGTTGCTTGCTCATTCTGCTTTCATGTAGGTATGTTTTCAATCAGAATTCAGGCAGGGGATACAAGGTTGAGGAGTAAGGGTTTCACTCAAATCAGCTCCTGATTGGATATACAGTCTGAGGGTGACTTGTATATTTTAAGTTAAAATGTCCAAATTGCTTATCTGTGCAGTTGGCAGAAACTGACAACCTGGTTTCCATTGCTAACAGAGCCCAGATTGCCTTAGATGATGCCAAACCATTTTACTGTTTCCTTTTGAAGAGTTGACCCTATGCCATTCACTTTTTTTCCTCTTCATACCCAAAATTAATCCAAGACATCTACTCTTAAGAGACCAGTAACCTCTCTGTTAAATAGCAATTCTGCCAAATGGGGTCATCTGCAAAGCCATATTTTTGAGTTATTTAAGAACTGCTGGAGTGTCCTGGGTTTTTTAAACCAGCCACTTGGTGTATAACTCTTTCTAAAACATATCGCATGTAATTGTAAATGCTTTTGATGACCTAAGGTTTACTATTCTACATAGGCAAACTATGAGGCATGTGATTGAACACAGATATGCCCTAGAATTTGTGGTACAGGCCCTGGCATCACCTTGCTGCCTATCATTTGCTGCTTTGACATATAATTATAGATGCACCTGGAAGCTCTTCTGAATAAGTTAACATGGCTTCCTTTTCCTACATTAATTATTGAATCCAAAGCCCTTCCCTAAGTGGTTTGCTTGTTCTCTGAAAAATTTTTTTACAGTTTGGGAAAATGCATGGGCTTTGGGATCCAGAGAAATTTTTTTTTTTAAGTTATCACAGCATGATGTATGTCCTTCTCTCCCTTCCTTCCTTCCTTCCTCCATCTCTCCTTTCCTTCCTTCTTTCTTTCCTTCCTTCCTCCCTCCTTTCCTTCCTTCCTTCTTTCCTTTCTTATTTTAAACTTTTTATTTTAAAAATTTGGAAAACATTCATTTTGGGGGAAGATTTTATTACTCCATCATCCTAGCATTAATCACTTTATTTTCATTAACTTCAAATTACTTTCTATCTCATTTATAGGTACTACTTGGTTTGACAAGTAGGACACACCTATGACATTTTTGATAATCAGATTGCCTTCTTTTGTTGAGCAGTAATTATCATCTTACAGTATTTTAACATGTTGCCTCCAAAGGTCACTAAAACCAGATTAGGTATTTGCAACATCAGGTAAGCTCATTTAATTTTATTAGCGTCCTCATTCTGGATGCATGAGTTCTATGGCTTGGATATCAAGGCTTTTTTATCTTTAGAAACTTTCTAAGTTTGACATCTAGAACTGAGTGTGAATGGCCAGAGCTATTACCTTTATATTTTATCCACTTTTGCAAACTTTAATACTATATTCTTTTGGCAGTAACTGTCTTCCTGGGAGGACGATTATGAAAATGAGTAACAGTCATCTTGGAGAAGTATGTTTTCTTATTTAACATAGAGTTTCTCCTAACTCTCAGTCCCCATCTACTAAGACTCCCTTACCATTATAAGAGAGCATACTGTCTGTTTTAATCACCCTCCAACAAAGCTCCCAAACCCGACATTAATAGTAAATATTCAAAATGATGTCCTTAAAGAGTAATTTCAACTCACCTTCTAGAAATCTAGAAATTGGAGCAGGACCTGGCCCAAACTTTTCAAATGACCTACCACCCCTTTTAGGGTAGAAAGCTAGTTGGCTCAGGTATGAACGACTCTTCATTCTGGATGAAAAAGTAGTTTTCTGGTAGACTTTCATGTTATGGTTCATAAGTTTTTCCTGCCCAAGTGTAAAAGTTGGAAAGAATTTTTAATATACCAAAGTATGTTATCTTAAAATCAGTGATCATATATGAAAATAACATTTGCAACAAAAATCTTAACGTTAAAACAACAACCCCACATTCTTCTCTTTGAAGGAATGTGTGTTGTTTTAATTTCCTTCTCATATGAAGCTGAGACCATTTAACTTTCATTAAATATGTAAATCACAAATACAAGACTGGAAAATGTCCTCTCAGCTTCATTTTCACAATTTAGTCTTGCTCAAAATGCAGTTAAAATTTGGAAATTCCGGGCTGAGTGCAGTGGCTCATGTCTGTAATCCCAGTGCTTTGGGAGTCCAAGGTGGGCAGATCACCTGAAGTCAGGAGTTCAAGAGCAGCCTGACCAAGATGGAGAAACCCTGTGTCTACTAAAAATACAAAAATTAGCTGGGCGTGGTGATGGGTGCCTGCAGTCCCAGCTACTCAGGAGGCTGAGGCATGAGAATCACTTGAACCCGGGGGTGGAGGTGGCAGTGAGCCGAGCCCACACCACTGAACTCCAGCCTGGGTGACAGAGCAAGACTGTCAAAAAAAAAAAAAGGAAATTCTAAGCGTTGGTTCTGTGGAATTAAAAACTTGAGAGGAAAGGGATCTTCCCAGTAGATATTTAAAAATTAGGCTTGTGATTTCATTCATCTTCTCTTAATTTAATTTTAATAATATTCCACAAAACCATACAACACATGCTGAGGAACCATCACATATAGATGAGTCTGTTGTTGAGCATTTGTAGATAATTTCCCTATCTTAATTAGGGTAGACAAAGTCCTGTAATCAACTTTTACCTCGGGAAAAAAGAAAGTAAATCTACTGAGATGTGAACCAGGCGATGTAGGTGTGATGACCACACCAGTGGTGAGATTAACTCTGCAAGGCACAGTGGGAAAGTTAGCCTTATCATTGATCTAGCTTCATACCACATAATTTGAAAACAACACCCCCTCCTCCACTTTCATCCCTTCTTCCTTCCCCAGCACACACATATACATTGTCTTATCCATATCTGATTCTTGAAGACGCACCTCCTTTTATCTCCTCACCACTAACACCCTTTTTTCCATCTTCTCATCAACAAAGATGAACACCCCTTCCTCTCTATTTCCTTGGCATGCCTCTGTTACTGTATTTCCTCCACTCTGAGTTGCCACTTATTATAGGATGTGCTATTATTTTACTCACGGCCAGTGATGTATGACATCCCATCTATGGAAGCTAGATACCAATTTCAGAAATGTAAAAAATGTGGAAATGTGGGTGTTGGAATCAATGAAGGACAGTGTGCCATACTTGTCCTACTGGACTGCTGTGGTGTATCTCTCTTCCTCCGTTAGGTGGCGATCTTTGCGGTGCCTACTGTCAGCTGGATGTTTTTCTGTCGTTTGTGTTCGCACTGTCTCCCCATCATGGTGTGAGGCACACACCACCTGTGTCTAGTTGACTCCATGTCTTAGCCCAGCAAAGTTCATAAGAGCAATATATAAGTGGATATGATTCTAACATTAATTGAGGTTGTGATTTTAATTAAACCTTACCGTTTTCTTTGCTTCCATTTCATTTTCTTTGAAAAGAAAGAGATCTCTGAAAAAGATCTTATAAGGCCTGTCCTCTTTGATTGAGCCATCCTTTACTTTATCTGTTAAAAAAGAAAGAATGAATGAATGAATTCTGTCATCCTTCCTCTACTGACCAGAATAGTAAGTCTTCCACCAGCCGGGGTGCAATGAATGGGATGCAGGGGTCTCTGAGAAGGTAATGTTAAAAGAAAAACTTTGGCCAAATTAAATTTGAAGGAGTTTAATTGAGTAATGAACGATTTGTGAATTGGGCAGCCCCCAGAATCACAGCAGAGTCAGAGACTCCAGGGATGCCTCATGGTTAGAACAAATTTATAGATAAAAAAAGGGAAGTGAGGCACAGAAATCTCAGGTGAGGTACAGAAACAGCTGGATTGGTTACAGCTCAGCGTTTGCCTTATTTGAACACAGTTTGAACACTCAGTAGTGTATCAGTGGTTGAAGTACGGCTGCTGGGATTAGGCCAAGACTCAGCTATTGTTACAGGGCATACTTCTAAGTTAGGGTTTCAGTTTTGTCTGTCTATTAAGTTAGGTAGCAGTTCGTTCACAAGGATTCAAATATAGAAGTACGGAGTCCTTCTCAGGCCATATTTAGTTTGCTTTAACAGTAGAATGCAGACAGCCTTGCTTCCACATCTCCTGGGTAGGAGCCACAGCATCTCTGTCTGTTTCCCACAGCGCTGACATATCTCTTACTGCTTCATGAGGAATGAGTTGATAAAATAAGGAGGTCTTTACCAAAATAATAGGATAAAATTTTGAGATATTAATATGTTTCTTCTCACCACTACACATATGCCACCATTACCCTTACACCTCCATTTCAACAGCAACAGATAAAGCCACTACCCTTAAGGAGAGCCTCTGCCCAGATTAGAGAATCTTTAAAAAGGAAGTCAAAGATAATACAAAGTGCTGGAGAGCACGTGGAGAAAATGGACCCAAATACACTCCTAGAAGGAATGTTTAAGTGGGGCAGTCACTTTGGAAAACAATCTGGCAGTTCCTTAAAAAGTTGAACATAGAATTGCCACATGACCTAGAAATTCTACTGCTAGGATATACCAAAAAGAAATGAAAGCATAGGTGCTCACAAAAACTTGTACATGAATATTTAGAGCAATATTATTTATAATAGCCAAAAAATAGAGACAACCTAGACATCTGATATGGTTTGGCTGTGTCCCCACCCAAATCTCATCTTGAATTTTAGCTCCTATAATTCCCATGTGTCATGGGAGGGACCCAGTGGGAAGTAATTGAATCACGGTGAGGGGTTCATTTTTGTGCTGCTGCATGATCGTGAATAAGTCTTGTGAGATCTGATGGTTTTATAAAGGGGAGTTCCCCTGCACACACTCTTGCCTGCCAAGGTGTAAGATGTGACTTTCCTCCTCTTTCACCTTCCACCACAATTGTGAGGCCTTCCCAGCCATGTGGAGCTGTGAATTCATTAAATTTCTTTCATTTATAAATTAGCCAGCCTGGGTATGTCTTTATTAGCAGCATGAAAACAGATTAATACAATATCCATCAATTGATGAATGATAAACAAAATGCAATATTTCCATACAAGGAACTCTTATTTGCCCAGAGAAAGGAATGAAATACAATACGTGCTACAACATGGATGAACCTTGGAAACATGTTGAATATAAGAAGCCAGTAACAAAGGACCACACATTGTATAATTCCATTTATATAAAATATCCAGAATAGGCATATTCATGGAGATAGAAAATAGATGAGTGGTTGCTTGGGGCTGGAGGGTGGATGGGGCCTAGGGATTGATGGCTGAGGGAAGCAGGTTTCTTTTGAATGAGTGAAAATATTCTAAAATTGGCTGTAGTGATTGTTGCACATATGTTTGCATACACTAAAAACCATGGACTCGTACTCTTAATAAAAAATGAAGGCTGGCCATTAAAAAGGTACAAGAAAAGTCAGCTGAATTTCTGCGTGGACTTCCTGTTTTTATTTATAACATTTGATATGACAAAAAAAATCTTTCTCTCTCTTTATTTCTTATTTCTTACTTTCTAATTCTTGGGATGTGGCACAATGGAAATCTTGGTGTTCAAAATCAATAATGAAGGTCAAGTGTATTTGTCTATTTTCACACTGCTATAAAGAACTTCCCTGAGACTGGGTAGTTTACAAAGGAAAGAGGTTTAACTGACTCACAGTTCTGCATACCTGGGAAGACCTTGGGAAACTTACAATCCTGGTAGAAGGCTAAGGGCAAGCGAGCACCTTCTTCATAAGGTGGCAGGAGAGAGAAACATGAAGGAGGAACTTCCAAACACATATAAAACCATCAGATCTTGTGAGAACTCACTCACTATCACAAGAGCGTGGGGCAAAACGCCCCCACTATCCAATCACCTCCCTCCCTCAACACATGGAGATTACAGGCCCTCCTTTCACATGTGGGGATTCTAATTTGAGATGAGATTTGGGTAGGGACACAGAGCCAAACCATATGACCAAAAATACTGGGAGCCTGGAGTTGACACCTTAAATCAGAGATATGAAGAGGATTCCTGAGGACACATTCCCCAACCCATACCCCACATCCCTTTCCACCTCAGCCTCACAAAAAGACTCCACATCCTCCCAGCAAGCAGAGGGCTTGTGAAGAAACTCAATGATTCTTGCCCCAAATCACTAGAATCACTTTGGCTCCACACAACTCCAGAGATTCTGACTTAATTGGTCAAGGAAACATCAGCACTGGAATATTTTGAGAGTCCCCCAGGTGGCTGTAATGTATATCCAGGGCTAAGAGCTAGTGGACCAAAGTTTAAGGAATTAATGGACTGGAGCTTAAAGTCTACCTGAGAAGCAGCCATTTGCTCAAGGATTTAGCATAGAAAGTGGGAGTGGCTGGGATTATAGAAACTCCAGACATTTTTCTGTAAGTCATGGGTTAGAGGGAAAGAAAATTGCAGAGTGGAAGTCTTGGATTCAACACAGAGTACTCTGATCATCTCCTATTCACCCTGATGGTGATGGAGGGATCCCCCATCCTAAATACTATGAGATGGCTGAACACATGATACCCAACACTGGACAGATGAGACTGAGAGCAATTTATAAGTCATATATACTCATAGTCTGGGGGATGAGAATGCTGCCTGCAATGCAGGGCCACATGGGAACTGCACTCAGGAGCACAGTGAATCACCAGTGGTGGGAGGCAACTTTGTAGTAACAAAAGGCTGAGGTGTCCCCTGGTCCCCACAGGAGGATGTGATTGACTTGTTTGAATAATTTCATGGCTGACAGTGCAGTGAAACCCATTAGGCTGAAGACCAGGTGGAATGCAGCTGGTCCAGTTGATAGAGGAACTAGCCAGGCAGGGAGACTTTCCTGGTAGGTGGAGGTCATATTTGGCAACAGCAGGAGGATTTATGGTTAGGCTTTTGGGGCCCTGTGAGGCTGAAATATGTCAAGGCAGCACATAAAATTTTAGGCCTTAAAAACATGAAGTAGAAACAGCTGAGGGTGGGTCCAGGCAGCTGGACTCTGGGACAGCAGAAGTGTGGATGCACAAAGCCAGCAGGCTGGAGACCAGGAGGGAGCAACAGAGATTGAGGACCCAAAAGGATGTGGGGCTGGGTGCCTGTGATGGTTAATCGTGTGTGTCAACTTGACTGGGCCACGGGTGCCCAGATGAAACATTATTTCTGGGTGTATCTGTGAGGGTATTTCCAGGTGAGATTAGCATTTGAACTGGTGGACTCAGTTAAGTAGACTGCCCTCATCCATGTGGGTGGGTCTCATGCAATCTCTTGAGGGTCTGAGTAGAAAAGCCTGAGGAATTAGGAAGTCACTTCTTCTTTTCTGCCTCACTGCTTGAACTGGGACATCTCATCTCATCTTCTCCTATGCTAAGACTGGAACTTACACCATCAGTTCCCCTGCTTCTCAGGCTTTCTGAGTCTGATGGAATTACGTCACCAGCTCTCCTGGGTCTCCAGCTTGTAGATGGCAAACCATGGGACTTCTCAGCCTCCATAATTATATGAGCCAATTACTCATAGTAAATCTCCTTCCTATTGGTTCTGTTTTTCTGGAGAGCTCTGGCTAATACAGTGGTGTTTCCAGAGTCTGTGGACCTATGCCTTATATACCATCACTCCCAGGCCAGGGCTGGGCCCCAGACATCCCAATATGGAGCCACCGTTGTCCTCCAGGGCATGAGTTATTGGTGGGCTGGACACCTCTTCCCCAATCAGCCTTCTCTTCTTCCAAGAGAAACTCTACAAACTTAGATTCTGCCCTATCCCAAGTGTCTTAAAATCTTTAAAGCCTGAGTTAAAATCTCTACTGACCAAGTTTAAGTGTCTTGGAATTGACAAGATGATATTTTTGTGCCTCCAAGTTCAAAGCTGAGTTTATTTCAGTTACAGAGAAATAGAAGAAAATTAAATTTCTGAACCAAGTGTATTAGTTTCCTCTTGTTTCCATAATAAGATATCACAAAACTAGTAGTTTAGAACGACAGAAATGTATTCTCTCCATTCTGGAGGTCAGATATATGAAATCAAGGTGTTGGCAGAGCCCTGTTCTCTCAGTGAAGCCTCTAGGGGAGGATCCTTCCACACTTCTAGCTTCTGATGGCTCTAGACATTCATTGGCTGGATAACGCCAACCTCTGCCTCCAACTTCACATGGCCTTCTCCTTTTCTTTCTTTTCTAAGGACACTTATCATTGAATTTAGGGCCCACCCTAAATTCAGGAGGATCTCATCTTGAGATCCTTATCTTAATTACATTTGCAAAGATCTTTTTCCCAAATAAGGCCATATTCCCAGGTTCCAGAGGTTAGAATAGGAAGGCCAACCATTTCTGGAGGGCCGCCATTCAACCCGCTACACCAAATTTCCTATATTATAAACTCACCACATGAACTAGCCCCTAGGTAACCCTTCTCCCTGTATTTCTTTCCTAGTCACATAAGACTAGGGCTGCTGTAGCAGATTATCACAAATAGGGTGGCTTAAAACAACAAATGTAGTCTCTCACAGTTCTGGAGGCCACAAGTTCAAAAT